TTTGCTGCCAAGATCTGTTTCTTATTGCTCTGAATTTAGACTTCAGAGTTAGTTTATTGACAGCTAGGAGAATAATCAACTACCTTTTCTTCCAATAAAGGTCCCTAAAGTCAACCTTCAAATGCAATTTTTCAGATGGAATCTAACAAACAGATCCAACTGCTGTTTAAACAGCCAATTACATCCAAATTGAATGTAAAAGCTAGAAATTAAAATCCTATTAAATGTACAGTACTCTCAAATGTGAACATTTGATTTGTTTTTTTTAAAAAAAATATTAAAGGGTAGACTGCAAAGAGATTAATTTGTATCTCAGAGAGACAGCTGGGAAGCCCCCAACAGTCTGTCAAGCCATTGAAAGAAATCAACCTTCTGGAGGTTGACGCCTTTTTACTGGAAAAAAAAAACGAAACACCAAAATAAGAAAGCACACACGGAGAAGCAAGGACAGACTATTCCCTTTCTATTAATTTAATTCCTCAAAAGTCAAAGGAAAAGAAAGCAAGACAAACTAAAAAATGAAGAAGGCACATGGGGGCAAACAAGAACAGTTGGCTGTATTTTATAGAGAGGAATGAAGACAGAGGGAAAAGGAGGCGACCCAAAAAGTAGTGCTAGAGGAGGCTAATGAGGGAGAAACAGGCAAGGAGAAGTCGTCTTGGGATGCAAGATTAATCATCAGTTAACATAGGCACGGCCATGCATTTTTATTTACGCATTACTTTCTGGATGATATCCCAGAATCCACCAAGCAGTTTTGGTGATTATTTTCAGGACTCCTGTCCAAGTATTCATACTCTCTAAAATGAGACAATAAAAGGGGCATCATTGCACTGGCAAAAAGGATGCTTGCTGCTGTAAATAATGTGTTTTTTTGGGGGGGCACACACACCGCTAAGGAGCCCCCGGTGGCGCAGCAGGTTAAACTGCTGAGCTGCTGAACTTGCTGACTGAAAGGTCAGTGGTTCAAATCCAGGGAGTGAGGTGTGGTCCTGCTGTTAGCCCCAGCTTCTGCCAACTTAGTAGTTCCTGCTGCAATAATGAGCTACTGGGTTAAAGTGCTGAGCTTGTTGATCGAAAGCCGTAGGTTCGAATCCGGAGAGCAGTATGAGCTTCCACTGTCAGCCCCAGCTTCTGCCAACCTAGCAGTTCGAAAACATGCAAATGTGAGTAGATCAATAGGTATCGCTCTGACAGGAAGGTAACAGCGCTCCATGCAGTCATGCTGGCCACATGACCTTGGAGATGTCTATGGACAATGCTGGCTCTTTGGCTTAGAAATGGAGATGAGAACCACCCCTCAAAGTCAGACACAACTAGACTTAATGTCAAGGAGAAACCTTTACGTTTACACACCGCTAAAGCCAAGGAGAGGAGCACCAATGAAGGCTGACAAGACTGCCAAGGAGCAGATGGGGCAAGAGCTGAACCCAGGGAAGAGTTTCAGTACGTCGGCATTGGGAGGTATCAAAGGAAAGCATGTGGGGCATTAGGCAAGGTGAGCAGATCCCAGTGAAGCACAAAAGGGTGCTGGGGCAAAAGGAAGGCACAGCCATGCAGAATGTCTCTGAGGGATGGATGTATAGGAAGGCAATCCCACTGATGGAAAGGAGAGGTGAAAGCCTGCAGATGAAGGAACTGCGTGTAAAAAGAAGGAAAGCCTCATAGTTTGGAAAAGAAACACATTACAGAAGGAAAACGAGACAAGGTTACCAAGTGATAAACCAGATGGGGAGGTGATGCTACTGTTGTTTCAAGCTGTTGTAAATCTGATCAAGCTGTTTAAACTTCAGAGTCATTTTAATGTTGCATATAGGGTAGGATTTGAAGATTTTAAATAAATAAATAAACAAACAGGAAAACTTTATCAATGGGACATAATACATGTACTGGCTAGCTATGGGTTTGGTTTTTGTTTACCTTGGGGACCAGCATGGCTAGCATTGTTGTTTATCCCTGGACTAACCTTATTCTCAATGGGATTAGGAACTAGGAAAAGATAGGTCTATAGTGAGTTTGGGGGGGGGGGGGATGTGAAGACTACCAACACAGTCTTACCTTCCAAACTGTACCCCCACCCCCAGCTTTTTAAAAAGTCAATTAGGACTGCAACACAATGAAGCTTCAGAGGAAGGTTATTACGACCCCTCCCCCAATGTCCTGAGGAAGATCTGAAGTTGGGAGTTGGATAGGAGTGGCCAAGAGAAAGGTGTTCGGGACTGGAAGGGAGGGAGAGGATGTCACCTGCTCCAAAAGGAACACATGAGAGCAAAGAAAAAAAAGGAGGAAACTTTCACCTTCTCTTCACCCCCCCTCCACCCCCCATATTTCCCCACCTTGAACTATGGGTGCTTCTACCCTATCAGAATTAATGCAGTTTGGCAGTGTTTTAACCACCCTGGCTCAATCCCATGGAATCCTGGCAGTTGTAATTTGGTGAGGTCCCAGCACTCTTTGGCAGAGAAGGCTCAAGACTTTTTGAAACTACAACTCCCAGGATTCTGCTGCATCAAGTCATGACAGTTGATGGGCTGTCACACTGCATTAATTCCAAGACAATGTTGGGTTTCGACATCACTACCTATTCTCTGGTGGCACAGCGGGTTAAACCACTGAGCTGCTAAACTTGCTTACTGAAAGGTCAGCGGTTCAAATCTGGGGAATGGTGTGAGCTCCCTCTGTTAGCCCCAGCTTCTGCCAACCTAGCAGTTCGAAAACATGCAAATGTGAGTAGATCAATAGGTACTGCTTCTGCAGGAAGGGAACAGTGCTGGCCACATGACCTTGGAAGTGTCTATAGACAACACGGGTTCTTTGGCTTAGAAATAAAGATGAGCATCCCCCCCCCCCCCCAAGCTTCAGAAACAACTAGACTTAATGTCAGGGAAAAGCTTTACCTTTACCTTCTCTCCAAAGCATGAAAGGGAGATACCCAGGACACCCCTTCCAGGAGAGGTTGGAGGAGGGGGAAAATAGCAATGCTTGCATGAGAGATTGCAGCTTGGCAGAGCTAAGGAAAGCCTAGCCTAGGTGCATCTAGAAATAATGCAGCCTGGTACCACTATGGCTCAATTTCCAATGGCATTTGGAGTTTGACGAGGCACCGGCCCTCTTGGGCAGAGTAGACTGAAGACCTTGTAAAACTACCCATCCCATGATTCCATGGCAGTGAAAGTGGTGTCAAAGTGCATCATTCCCACAGCATAGACTAGGCATGGAAGATATAAGATGCCATCATTATTCTAAATGTGTATTACCCTGAGCCTGAGCTGAGCCTGAAGCAGGCATGGGCAAACTTTGGCCCTCCAGGTGTTTTGGACTTCTACTCCCACAATTCCTAACACCCTACCGGCTGTCAAAACATCTGGAGGGACGATGTTTGCCCATGCCTGGCCAAGGCGGGAGCCAAGTGCAATGCCAGGGAGGGAATGCAGGTCAGCTGAGTGGAAGCAATGGCTCTCCGGGAGGGGAAGACCAGCGGGGGGAGGAGGAGGATGAAGAGGAGGCGGAGGGGTGAGAGGAGAAGACCTCCCCCCCCCCCACCGGAGGGAGCCGGGCGAGTTGGAGAAGGTAAACAAGCGCCACGCCCCCTCCAGCCCTCCTCCTCCTCCTCCCTGCCGCGCAGCTCCCTTGGCGGCCACTGCTGTACATTTCCATTCCCAAATCTCTCCMGGCCGACGACCACAATGTCCCGCCCCGCGCTGCCAAAGCCACCAGCGCCCCAGCAAAGAAAGGCGGGTGCTGCTACTGCTGCCCTTTGGGGAGAGAGAGAGAGAGAGAGAGAGAGACAGAGATAGCTCGCCCTCCCTCCCTCTCTCTCTCTCCAAAGGGAAGGCTTGTTTATATCCGAGGGAGGCGCTGAGAGGAAGCCCCCAACCCTGGCTGGCGACACGTGAGAGGCTCCGATCATGTGGGCGCCGCGGAAAAGAGGCTGCGAAACGTGCTGCGGATCAACCAACACAAACGGAACTCGTGTCGCTCCTCGTTGCCCCGGACCCCGCGCGCCACCGCGGACCCAAAACACACACACACACACAACAACAACACACCTCTCCTTCCCCCCTTCTCACCATAAGAGTTGGAAGACACTCCAAAGGCCATCACAATCCACAAACACATACAGCACACCTCGCTCCCCCTTCTCCTCATCATAACAGTTGGATTAGACCTCAAGGGCCATCACAGCCCCAAAACACATACATACACACACCTCTTTCCTTTTCAGAGGCTTAGAGAGTTGGAAGAGACCATCCCACCCAACACACACACACACCTCTATCCCTTTCACAGAGGCTCATATTTGGAAGAGGTCACCCAGCCCAACACACACACCTCTTTCCCTCTTCACATAGGCTCAGACAGTTGGAAGAAGCCATCCAGCCCAACACACACACACCCCTTTCCCATCATATTTGGAAGAGGTCACCTAGCCCAACACACACACCCCTCTTTCCCTTTCACATTGGCTCATAGTTGGAAGAGGCCATCCAGCCCAACCCCTCTGCCAGGCAGGGAGGGAAACCCAGTCGGTTTGCCCCCCCCCCTCTTGTTCGGCCTCTTCTCCTCATGCCCCCCTCCCTCCCGCCTTCCTTGGAGACCGACCTTTGGGTCTGGCTCCTGCCGCAGTCATTAATCCAAGGGAGGCTTCCCAAAGTTGGTTGTTTACATCCCTGCCGCCTCCCTCCCTCCTTCTCTCTCTCCCTCCCTCTCTCTCCCAAGCAGGACGGACCAACATGCGCCATCACCACCATCCAGGTCGGAAGAGGCAACAACACACTTCGCGCACTCGCTTTTCTCTCTCTCTCTCTCTCTCTCTCTCTTGCACGCACCCCGCCTTCCTCCTTTGCAGCCAGGCAGGGAGCAAACAAACGCCAGGAGGGAGAAGGAGGAAGGAAGGCGGGAGGGAGGGAGGGAGGGAGGCAGCCATCCAGGGAAGCTGCGGAGAAACAGAAGGGAAGGGAGGGAAGGAAGGCAGGGGCAGCTTTCCGCTGGCTTGTTACCTTGTCCGGGAAGCGGGGGGCTCCTCTTCCTCCTGGGGAGCGGTGTTAGGCCAGGGGGCGTCGGCGAGGGCGGGGGGTCCGGGGGCGCCGCATGCCCTTGCCCTGCCTTGCCCCTCCCTCTCTCCCTTGCCCTGCTCGCCCCTCCGCTCAGGACTCGAGACAAAGTAACTCCATGGGCGCAGGAAGCGGGCAGGCGCGCGCACACAATCCCCCGGGCTCGGCTTCCCGCGGAGACGGCCGCGCGGAGCCCAACCCGGCCGGCCCTGCCCCGCGCTTCTCTTCCCTTTTTTACATCCACTTTTCCTCCTCTTCTTCTTTTCCTTCTTCTCCCGAAAATCCTGCCACCCTGGCCCTTGCTCTCCCTCCTCCTCCTCCTTCTCTACTGGCCAAGCAGCGACTTCGGATTCTTCTTCTTAGGAGTAGATCAGTGAGGATGCTGGCGAGTTCTCTCTCCCCCTTTTCCTTTCTCCACGCGCCTTCCTTCCTTCCCCCCTTTTTCAATTTCTTCTTTTCTTGCTGGTTGTTTCTTCCCGGCGAGCAGCAGGTCCAGGTGCAGCTGCAGACGTGGGTCCCATCCCTGATTGTGTTGGGCATGTGTTGCCTCGCTCCCTCCTCCCCCTTCCCCTCCCTCGCCTTCACCTCCCTCCGATGCGCCCAGTCCCCATCGCTCGCTTGCTTTTCTCTCCTTGCGCCTTGGGCAGCTGCAAAGGGCTCACTCCGAGAGAGAGAGGGAGGCACGCCAAAGCCAGGCTCGCTCGCCTTTCCTGCCCTCTCTCTCTCTCTCTCTCTCCCTCGAGATCCCTCTCCAACAAGCCTGATCAGGTCACTTTCGCAATGATCTTCAGCCTGGCGCGAATGCACACAAACACGCACACACAGAGGCAGGGATCGCACTTTCTGGGCTCCCTTCCTCGGAGGTGCAACACTCTTCCCACCCTCCAAAAAACACCGACCCCAGAGCTTGCTTTCCCTTCCTCGGAGCTAAACCTGCACCTCGCTCCTGATCCGCGGGGGTGTGCGTATGTGTGTGTGTTATTCCCCCCAAAGCATCCTCCTCCTAAGATTATACTTAACCAAATCTTTTGGCGCCATATTAATGACGTACTTCAAATTTGCCATTTCTTCCTGCGTCAAAAAAGAAGACGCGTCTCGCGCGGAGCCGGGAGGGAGGGAGGGAGGGCAGGACGGGGCGTGGGGGTGGAGCTGGGAGGGAGGCAAAGGAGGCCAGGCAAGAGACCCCCAAGCCGACTGGGTGGCTGGCTGGGTGGGCTCGGAAGTTCCCCTCAGGGGGCTCCTCGGCGTGGCTCGCAAAGTTCTGTGGGGCTGGCCTCTCTCTCTCTCTCTCTCTCGAGGAAGGAGGTGTGCGGAGCCCAAGGTGTGTCCCACACATATACACAGACACTCCGACCGGGAGCCGTTAGGAAGCACTTGCTCCTCCGGCGTGGCGGGGCTTGCCAAGAGGGAGGAGGAAGAGGAGGAGGCGGGGAGCGCGCGCTCCGGGCCTGGAGGGGCGGCCTCGAGGACAGCCTTCCTGCCTGCCTGCCTTCCTTTTCTCCCTCCTGATTCGCCAGTTTGTCCCACTTCACGCCCGGCTCGCTGAGATCCTTCCACCCCCCACCTCCTTTTCTCTCTCTCTCTCTCTCTCTCTTCCTCCCCAAGATCTCTGCGGTTTGCAGACAGACACAGAGAGAGAGAACTTTGCACAGTTGACACAGGAAGGAGAGGAGCCGGGTCCGCCCTCCTCCTCCTCCTCCCGCCCCTTGCCGTGCTCGCCTTGACCTTGGGATGATGCACAAAACAAGGCGGTAGCAGCTAGGAAAGCGAGCTGGTGGCTCTCCCTCACTCCCTCCCTCGCCCCCTTTGCAACGGATGGCCACACCCCCCCCCCCCCGCCAGAAAGGAGGACAACTCTTGCTTTTTCTCCTTCCCCGAAGTGCGCCGGCGACCTTTGTCCCCTCCCCCGAAGCGCTGCCCGCCAATATTTGGGGCTTTGGGGGCTGACGCGCTCCTGACGGCTGAACTTTCTCAACAGCTCCAGAGCTCAAGGTTCAAGAGCCAGCGCTGCTTTCCCACAGTCTTGGCTCTTGGGGTGTACCTTCAAGCCCTTGCCAACCTATGTCAGGCCTGGCCCAGAGTTTTCTAGGGTTGAGGGTTGCCCTGCTTCTTGGCAGGGGGTTGGACTGGATGGCCCACGCGATCTCTTCCAACTCTATGATTCTATGAGAGTCAGTGCCTTGTCCAGGAGTGAGTTTCTATGGTCAATCCTGAGCTGGATCAACCCCGGAGAATGAATGCAACTTGAACGGCCATGTCTCATGGCTATGCAATGCTGGGAGTTGCAGTGTTGCATGGTTGTGTGTTGTTTTTTTTGCCCTCTCTGACACAGAGTACTTGGTGCCTTGCCAAACTACAAATCCCACAATTTCATGGCAGTTAGAGTAGTGCCAAACGTATTAATTCTACAGCGTAGATCCCTCCCCCCCCCCCCAGGTCTCTAGAGTCATACTCTAGCTGTGCAGGTACAGCTGTACCAGGAGCTCCAATTTTGTTTGCTTTGCATTGAATGTTCATTGGTAGTCCTAAGTTTCAGGGACTCTGCAGATAGGTGGCTTCTTTTGGCTGCAATCATAGGGAAAGCCACCTGTCAATTATCGTTAGGTTCCCTGGTCCCGCCCCCTTTGGGTTTTTGGAGGGAATAGGAACCTTTTTGAGTTCAGTCCACACAGAGAAGCTTTCCATGCAGTACATAATACCAAGAGCTCCTGTAGAAAGCTTCATCTTCTACGGCTTGGCCGGGGAGATATACAGCCTACGGCTTGGCCGGGGAGATACAGCCTTACAGCTCCTTTGCTGAGGGACTTCAGCCAGCCATCACCAAAACCTGAACTCCTTTTTCCCTGGAAGTCTACAAAGCTCTGCTTGGTAAGGGTCGCTCGCAGAAGCCAGATGCAGTTGGTACCGGGTGCAGGGGCTCCACTCCAACAGAGGCAAGTACAGACTGCCCAGATTAGAAGTTAAGGATTTCCCCATTAGTTAAAATACCAGTCATGAAGATAGTGCCTGTTCCCTGTGGACAAGATTGAAAGAGGCTATAGACTGTCAAGAAAGCCTTGAAATAGCTGTTTGTTTTCATTAATAAAGAACTTTGTTGAACCTTTAAGCAATCTAAAGACTTTGTTTTGGGGAGGTCCAAAGGCCTTTAATCTGAGGCAGCCCCGGCGTCCCGTTAGGCACACAGAATTTATGTCCTGTCTACAGTCTTATGCACAGGCCCAGCGTGTGACAGCACACTAACACTCAGAGTTTGTCAACCAATATTCACTGGAACTGTAAAGGTAAAGTTGTTTCCCCTTGACGTTAAGTCCAGTCATGTCCAATTCTGAGGGTTGGTTCTCATCTCCATTTCTAAGCCAAAGAGCTGGCATTGTCCATAGACACGTCCAAGGTCATGTGGTGAGCATGACTGCATGGAGCGCCGTTACCTTCCCGCCTGAGCAGTACCTATTGATCTACTCACATTTGCATGTTTTCAAACTGCTAGGTTGGCAGAAACTGGGGCTAACACCTGGAGAGCCACAGCTTGAGCAGGTCTAAGTTTGTTACCACTTTACCTGCCATGAATCCATACTTTGAAATCTCAAAATTGGAAGCTTCATGGCACACCATCACTCTTTTGACAGAAGGATAGATTCCTTGCAAAACTACAACCCTCATGATTTTGTAGCATTAAGCCATACCAGTTAAAGGTAGTGCCAAACTGCATTGATTCGACAGTATAAACACAGCCTCATTACTGACAAAGAATCCATTTCACAACATAGTGCTTAGAAAATACTATGATGGCTTCATTTCCCCCAGCATTCAAACTGCAATGTTTTATGATACTATAAATGAATTCACACAGAGGCCTCGGTGGTGAGCGGGTTGAAACACTAAGCTGCAGAAATTGCTGACCAGAAGGTCAGCAGTTTGAATCTGTGGGACAGCATGAACTCACGCTGTTAGCCCCAACTTCTGCCAACCCAGCAGTTCAAAAACATGCAACTGTGAGTAGATCAATAGGTACCGCTCCAACAGGAAGGCACTCCATGCAGTCATGCTGGCCACATAACCTTGGAGATGCTTATGGACAACGCCGGCTCTTCAGCTTAGAAATGGAGACAAGCACCACCTCCCAGAGTTGGACACAACTAGACTTAATGTCAAGGGGAAACTTTTACCTTTACCTACATGAATCCACCCATTGCCACCCTCGCACATTGTTATAATAGATGGGATTTGGGAGGCACTGATTGCAGCTTTTTTTTTTTACCATAAATACCCTGGCTTGTCTTGAGAGGTACGTTATCTCTTAGCCTTTCTTCTTCATCTTAAAGATGGGAAATATTACTGTGAATTCTTAAGTATAGTAAAAGATCTGTATCAGATTTTATATTTATCTTGTATTAATTTACAAAGTGAGTTCAGATGTTGAATTTTCTCTCCTAGGCAGTGGCTGTGGTGGTGATGCAAGGCAGTATCTCTCTCTAAAAATATACTACACATCAACTGATAGAGGTAGTTACTCAGTGTGTTGGAGCTAAACATTAAAACTATTTTGGGATGCCTTGCAGTAGAGAGTTCAAAGGAGTTATCACTTTTAGAAGAACACATGAACTATCACTACAGCCATTTTTGAACATCCCACCATGGACATAAATCTCCCAGCAATTCTTTTAAAAACTTTATCACTAGAACTTGCACAAGGAAAAAGGGGGATTAAATTCCTCCTTATATCATTCAAACACTGTATAACATTCTTACACTTCAGTTTAGATACGCCATATAACATTAGTACATTTTTTTAAAAAATCAGCATACCTTTCTTGAGCAGGATATCATCTTGATGTTATTTGAAAGAATAATTCATTTTAGATCAATGCATTGCAAGGACCAGGTTGTGGCACAGCTAGTTAGTAGCGAGCTGCATTAAATCACTACTGACCGAGAGGTCATGAGTTCGAAGCTAGCCCAGGTCAGAGTAAACTCACAACCATTAATAGTCTAGCTTGCTGTTGACCTGTGCAGCCAGAAAGACAGTTGCATCTGTCAGGTAGGAAATTTAGGTACCGCTTTATGCGGGGAGGCTAATTTAACGAATTTACATCACCATAAAACCTTCCAGCAGTGTGCATAAGAATGAGGAAGTACTCCATCAAGTACTCAGTGTCACAAGTAGACGGTGAAGCAATAGCTCCCCCCTGTGGCCAAAATCGAGCATATCCTCAAGAAAGCAGAAAGCTGGAATGTTAAATTGCCTCTGTGTCTGCCTATATATGTTGTATGTCTAAATGGCATTGAATGTTTGCCACGTATATGTGCATTGTAATCTGGCCTGAGTTCCCTGCGGAGTGAGAAGGGAAGAATATAAATACTATAAATAAATAAATAAATAAATAAATGACACTCATCAAATCAAGTCACTTCTAACTTATTGATCAAGTATTCCCACATAAGTATATAAAATGTGATTTACAACCAATAAGGTTGTTGATAGTATCCCTCATAGATTTACAGATTGTGAAATTGGGTTAAAGTGTCCTGAATCAGGTGAAGGACCTCCATGCAAAGTGG